GAGGTTTTAAAAAAAGTAGCCAAATTGCTCATATTACCCAGACCACTTGGTAATATAAACATATGTTTTCAAAAAAATAATATACCTAAATATTTTACCCATTTTGTTTTCTTATTTTTCAGGTGTTATTTTCCACTACTAAAATTGATACAAGGCGAGGAAAAAAGTAGATAAGAATATAACAAGAAAAATTTTTTTTTTATCCAATTTTTTTGCATTTTTAGTCAGTATATTAAGGAAATACAAATATAATTTGCGCTAGAAGCATGGACAATTTTTAAATTTGTTTAAAGGTTTTTGCTAAACTTTACTGTTTTCAGGAAAGCAAGAAAACTAGTTGCTATTTATTTGTAAAAAAAAAATTATAACAAGTTTTTATGTAAAAAAATGAAACGATGCTCCAAAATCTTGTGGACCAGTGCATTGTTAATTTACTGAGCTTTTTTAATGAAATTTTTAGGAACCTATTTAAAACTATTTTTTAAGTTTTTAAATACATTTTTATAAACAGAGCAATTGTTATATTCATTATCTCTAGTGATTCATTTTAAAATTAATAATTGGGCAATATAAAAGAAACAATTTCAGACATACATCAAATGCGGTAACTACATTTTTTAAAGAAACTATGTTAATCTTTTATTTAACTTATTCTGTCATTACAAAATTTATTAATCAATTAATATTTTTTACAAATAAGTAACAGTTTATTCTATTATTTTCCTATTATATAAGTATTGAGAAAAAACCTCAAATATAGCAAAATTATCTTTAAAAGCAAAAACACGTAATAACGAATAAATGTAATAAACGAATAAACATAAGAAAAAAAATTAACAAATGTTTCTCATAGTTCTAACGTACATAGCAAATTATTTTCTTAATTATATGGACTGATGAAAATTATGAATAAATTGCATATCAAAACTTTTAATTGTTGTTAAATTGTTATAAAAGATGTTTTTTCAACGACTCTTTAAAAAAATTCAAAAGCTTTATAAAAGTTTTATATAAAAAAAAAAAATTTTCTTTACTTTTTTTCAATTATAAAATTTTCTAGTTTATTTAATTTTTAACTTGATTTTAAATTTTAACTTAATACTTCATTACAATTTTGTTTCGTTTTTTAGGATTGTTTTTTTTTTCTTAGTATGAGGGTTGTCCCAGAACTACCTAGCCTAACAAAGAAAACACAAAAATTTTGAAAAAATTTATTTTTATTTCTCAACATAGTCCTCTTTTAGCTTGATACACTTTTCCCAGCAATGTTCAATTGCTTCAATACCTTGTTTATAATAAGAGCCATCGAACTCTGCAAAATAGCCATCAACCGCATACTCAACCTCTTCATTTGTAAAAAATCTTCTGGTGCATTGTCTTTTTTGCCAAATGCAGGCATTTTTCCTTGATTTCTTCACTCAAACGCTGCAATAAGTTTGCATAATATGTGCCATTGGTGGTTTTTCCTTTTTGAAGATAATAAATGAAAATTATCCCATGCGCATCCCCAAATACTGATGCATAACTTTTCCAGCCAATGAAGTTGTTTTTGCCTTCTTAGGAGCCAATTATCCCCTTTTGTTTTAGGGATGAAATGATGAACCCATGTTTTATCCATAGTTATAAATAAACGCAAAAACCTTATTTTTGTGAACAATTCATCAAAATATCCTCACGATGTTGTTTTTGGTCGATTGTGAGAAAATCATGCTCAGCACTCATTATGTGCACAGCTTTTTCATGTTTAAATTTTCAGTCAATATGCAATGTACAGCACTTTTTGATATGCCTGCCATATCAGCTAACTCACGCACTTTCAATCAACGATTGTCCAGTATGATTTTGTGGATTTTCTTAATCATTTCTGGCGTGGTCAACCTCATTTGGTTGACAACTGTGGGCTTCATTATGACAGATCATATGGCCTCATTTAAACTCTGCAACCAAATATTTCACAGTTGAAAATAAAGGAGCAGACTTTCCTAGAGTAGAATCTAGTTCATTTTTGATATCAGTTGGACTGAGATCTTTTAAATAAAAATATTGAATGACATAACAATGACCAATTTTCTCCATATTAAAAATTTACAGAAAACGTTCACTATTAATGGTTACTAATCTGAAAAGGAAAAAAAAATTTAATTTCATAGTTAAGTTTTCAAAGGTTAAGGCTTTCATCCATGGTTATTTTTTTTTCAAAATTTTTTTTTCAAAATTTTTTTTTTTTTTGTTAAGCTAGGTAGTTCTGGGAGAACCCTTGTAGATTAGTTTAGCTTTTTGCGGCAAGTTATTTAAACGCTTTGTAAGTTAAAAAATGCAAACTGCTGAGTTCAGTTTGTCTAAAAAAGTTACTTTAAACATGGACAAACAAGGCATGGGACTTGCAGAAGTGGACATGCGATCTGCAGAAGTGCAATGTGCTTTCCGGGAAGGTTTGATATATATATTATACATACATATTTACAAATTTAATGCCTTTTTATTTTTTTATTTATTTTAGGTGGTTTATTGTTTAGTATTTTCAGTAAACATACAAAGAAATATGGTCGTAATCCAATTGTTCTGTCAGGGTTTATAATTCACATTATTGCTTTTTATCTTATATTTCTCAATGTTCCTGATCGAGCTACTCTTGAACCAACAAATGGAGATTCATTCCTTAATTATAAGTGTGTGCATTTGAAAATTTTTGTTTTTTTATTTTTTTATTTTGCATTAATAAAAGAGGAATTCAGTTTATAAAATACTTTTATAAAAACTAATTATTTAAACATGTTACAAACTACATTTTTTTGTCTTTAATTTGATTTAACATCAGGTTTTATTCTCATTAGAATCACAAGTTATTAAATATTCAAGTTGTTTCTTTGAAGAAAAAAAAAAAAAATTGTTTGAAGTCATTCCTTTTTTAAAAAATTTTGCTAAAGCACAATTTGGTTTAATTGTAGTTAGTTTAAATTTTGTGCTACAAATTAAGAAATGTCAAAATTTTTGTATAAATTTTTCTCATTATTATTTAAAAAAAAATACTATTCAAAAGAAGAATAAACAGATATCAGAACAAAATGAATTCATCATTCCATCTTGTGAGAAAGTATTCTAAAAACAAATTAAAAGTTATTTTTTTTTAACTGAGTTTCTCTTAGTTCTGTTTAAATTGATTTATGTGGTTATGAGTTATTATTCTTATCATAAATACATGGTTTATTTTCACTATATTTATATTTAAAAATAGTTTATATGTTTATGGTTTGTGTGCGTTTTTTCTTGGATTTGGTGACAGTTGTTTTAATACACAGGTATGATGTCATAGTTTTTTTTTTTTTATTAATTTATTTTATCTTAGTTGCATAAAAGTAGTATTTATACCTTTTTTTTAAAAATTATTTTGTGGCATCACATTTTTTTTAGTTTAAAATGTCCTTCAAGTTTTTTTTTTGTCTGATACATCATTCATGAAAAAAGTCAAATTAATTTTACAAGTTTTTTAAAAAATAAAATTTATAGAAACATTTACTAGCAAAAAGACTTTGTGAAAAATTAATTTGCAATTAAAAGTACTACAATTATAATAGTAGCCTTTTGAAACATTCAATACTATCGTTCATAACATTACATTAAACACTATTTTTTTTTTATGTTTTTTTTTTTTTTGTTAATTTACCTCCTCAAGGCCGAAAAAGCCACTACAGGTAAGGAGACTACTTTATTGTGGTTATAAATATTTATATTGTGGTCATAAATAATATAATAAATTTGAAACATTACAAAAGCAGCATTTTGAACTATTTACTTCAGAGTCTTCACTTACATAACATTCACAAATGAATACTTTTGAAACATCTTCAATATTTTGTTTACATTTAATGAATTTGAAACTTTTTGAAAGTTACTGGTCCATCACTGGCCCCAAATTAACTGTTCCTAACTTAGGTTATTTTCTGTGTTATGTTTTTTTATTCACAGACTTTATTGTGTACACTATTTTGTGGTATAAATTTTATTTTACATATTATTGACATAAGGTCTTTCATAAGCACAAAAGTGATTGCTTTTAAATGAAGACATAATTTTGAATTTAATATTAAAACTTTAAAAAATTTAAACCTGGATTTAAAATATAACACAAATTTATGAGTCTGCTATCTCAAAAAAAAAAATGAGCCTTTGTTTTATATTAATCTGAAATGCTAAATCCCAATAAGCACTTAGGATTTGTATGTCTCAGTATTATTTTTTTATGATTTTTAGTATCCAATAGCTCTAAAAAAGAAGAATATGGACTACCTTGAGGTAAAAAAAATTTTTACCTCAAGGTAAAAAAATTAGGGTTTTTAGGTTAGAGGAAGAATTAAGTTTTGAATCTGGAGTTCTTTTATATAATGGCAGCAAAGTTTGGGCTAAAAAAAAATAGGTTTTAAGTCATAAAATCTTATAAATTTTTTTCTCATTGCATAAGTAATACTAATAGTAAGGAGATAATAATAGTAAGGAGAAGCATATAAATATAATAGTATCAAGCATATTCAATAACCTTTCATTTTTTATGTGATGTATGGCTATAAAGCATATTCAATAACCTTTCATTTTTTATGTGATGTCTGGCTATCAAGCATATTCAATAACCTTTCATTTTTTATGTGATGTCTGGCTATCAAGCATATTCAATAACCTTTCATTTTTTATGTGATGTCTGGCTATCAAGCATATTCAATAACCTTTTATTTTTTATTTGATGTCTGGCTATCAAGCATATTCATTTCTTTATGTGATGTCAAAATCAATAAAACGTTTTGGAATGCTTAAACAAAATTTTGAAAATGTTCTTGAGAAAATTATCTCCATTTATGTGTCTCTATCATCTGGCAAATACATGAGAACAAGAGGGCAAAGCATAAAAGATTGAAAAAGGATGAAAGTTTTTTAAGAATGATAGAGCAGTTACAGAAAAAGAATGTGGCTAGTGCTGAATGACAAGTTATGCAAGATTGAGGTTTTTTTGATAGAAAAAGTGATGATAGCTTGGTTGAGCAGTGACCTTGATAAAGGTCACTGCTCAAGCAAAAAAAAAAAGCATTCTTACAAAAAAAAATGCAAAAAGAAAAATAATGCAAGCGTAGAAAGAAAAAAATTTTTGTACCTTGTCTAAAAGAGATAAGTCAAAATAAGCCAAAATATGAAAATAAGAGAATAGAAAAATTAGCCCAAATATGACAACTGTGTTCCATTCAAGGGCAAATAAGAGCTTTGCAAAAGTAAAAAATAGAATCAATAGTATAAAATGGTGAGCACTAGAGGCTAGCTTAGCATATGCTAACTTTGCAAAGAGTCTATTGCAAAGTTAATATATATAGTTTTCACTGCTCAAGCAAAAAAAAAAAGCATTCTTACAAAAAAAAATGCAAAAAGAAAAATAATGCAAGCGTAGAAAGAAAAAAATTTTTGTACCTTGTCTAAAAGAGATAAGTCAAAATAAGCCAAAATATGAAAATAAGAGAATAGAAAAATTAGCCCAAATATGACAACTGTGTTCCATTCAAGGGCAAATAAGAGCTTTGCAAAAGTAAAAAATAGAATCAATAGTATAAAATGGTGAGCACTAGAGGCAGCTTAGCATATGCTAACTTTGCAAAGAGTCTATTGCAAAGTTAATATATATAGTTTTCATGGGAGGTAAATAGTGAAGGATAACCTAAGAAGATGATAAAGCAGATAGTAGATCTCTGCAAGAGTATTACTGTTTATCAATATAGAAATATCAACAACACTGATTAACAGTACACAACTGAGTTTTCTTTGGTCTATAATCACCAGCCGCTGCAAGCCCTAAGCTTTCACAGAAAAGAGATCAGATTCAAGATCAGTTTCCTGTTCTGAAAGATTGAAATATTTTAGCAAAAGAATAATCAATTGATTCCTACTGTTAGCACTCTAATTTTTTGATACAATCAGTCTTTCTATGAGCTATCACAGATTTTAAGTGGCTTTACTACCAGCCAGTCTCAGAACCATTAAACTGAGTTTTACAATCTTAACCTATTAAAAGATAGCAGAAAGCAATGCATAGCCACTACATTAAGGGTACCAACAGATTTTTTTTGAAAATGTTTTTAAGACCTCCCTAATACATACATACATACATACATACATACATACATACATACATACATACATACATACATACATACATACATACATACATACATACATACATACATACATACATACATACTTACATACAGTAGTCTGCCATATTATTATACTTGTCAAATATTAACAAAATTCTTTTTGATTATATGTCTGCATGTTTGCCAAATGGGGTGGAATAAGCAACTTTTTTTTACTCTAGTAATATTTATTAACAAGTTTTTACTAGCGGCAATTTTTTACTTAATATTTAGATGCATTCAAGTCGGTCAAGTAGTTTTTCATTGTATTTTTTTAAAATTTCCTCATTTAAATATCTTCTTTTTAAACTAGGATTTAAGTGCAGAAACAGATTATCTAACTTTAAGGTGTTTATATCAGTATTGTTTGAAATGTTTTTGCATTTTATCGATGCGACTATAGACATCTGTTGTTTTTTTGTGCATTTTATCGATGTGACTATAGACATCTGGTTTCTTTGTTTGCATTTTATCGATGTGACTATAGACATCTATTTTTTTTGTTTGCATTTTATCGATGTGACCATAGACATCTATTTTTTTAAGTAAGTAATCATTATTCTAAATTTTTTGCATATTTTTTTTAGCTATAGGTAGGATTTTTAATACCTTTCCCAGTAAATAGGGGTAAATTTGTGGATTATTGAATAACACTGACATGTCTTAGTATAAAATCCTATGAATCATGATAATATCATATGATAAAATCTAGTAAATCTAGTAATGAAGCAAGTAGAATAATATGGTATCCACATTTTACTTGCTATCTTCACACTCATTGCAAAGAAGTTTAAAAAAAATTGGGCTATTTTCTTAATGACCAGCTAGAAAGCCTAAATTAGCGCTAATAATGGTTAAAAACATTTGCAATTAGCAGAAAAATACAAAAATTTCACAAGGATGACAAATTATAAAAACTCCTCAAGAAAAATCTTTCCAGGTTTTCTTGTGGCATAACATACTTTATCTATTTTTTTAAACCTCGTCTCTTTTTCTTCTTCACTAATGTATCTATGGCTAAACTCCTGCATCATACTCATATTTCTTTCTGCATGATTATTTACAACAATTAATGTTTTTGCATAAACTAAAAACTGGTTGAAGTATGATTGAGTGTGGTAATAGGATGAAGAAAGTGATAACTAATTTATTCTGTATTCAGATGCATTTAAAAATGGTATTTTTTTTGACCAAAATATTGACCCTTTTTTTTTCATAAAATAAGTTTGAGAAATAGTCTAGATTGATCAAAAATTGCAGTTGTGAAATCTTCTACATATTTGTATCAAATTTAGTGAGATATAAACGGATTTTTGTTTCGAAAATTTCTTCAAACTGATTTACCCATATATATATATATATATATATATATATATATATATATATATATATATATATATATATATATATATATATATATATATATATATATATATATATTATATATATATATATATATATATATATATATATATATATATATATATATATATATATATATATATATATATATATATCAGGCCTTATGATGAATAAAAACTGCGCGACGCATAAGCATGACGTGATTTTTGACATCATTAAATTCTTTTTATTTGCTTTTCATATTTATCGACATTAACTGCACCAATTTACTTAATTACCGCAAAACTGCTTTAAATCATTAATGTAGAAATGTTATTATTTAAAAATGTTTTGGAATGTTTTGTTTTTTAAAATGTAAAAACATTTGTTTATTTTCTCGACGTTTGACACGTTTTGTCTATATTAAACGAATAAAAAACATAACTAAACATTTAAAAAAGATTATAAAATATGCTAATATTTGATTTTTTTTTTATCAAGTATGTAATTTAAAGTTTTTCAAATAATTATTTTTTCTTTTTAAAAAGTCAGCGAGTAATAAACTGGAAATTTTAATATTGTACGATTAAAAAATGTGCAATAGCTAATATATTTACTAGCAATTTTATATAATATTTTTTTATTTATTTATTTTTATTTATTTTCATAAAGCGGTTGATAAGCACAATCACTCGTATTGCTAAAAAACTTTAACGAACGTTTTGAATAGATTTTTAATGTTTACAAGGAATTTTATTTTTGGTAAAATAAAATAAAAGAAAATGTTAGAATAAAAATCTTATAGGTATAAAAGACATATTTCAGCGAAAAAATTATTCTTAAAAATTATTATTAAAAATTATTCGAAAAACTATTGACGTTCCATTTTTCTGCAGCTGTTCTAGAGCACGCTTTGTTGAGTTTCGGTAACTTCTAACAAAAAAGCGATTGTTATTATTTAAGTAATTTTTTTTTTTAGAGTTACTTTTTACAAAAATTTTAATAGCTGTACTTTTTAATTGAATCAAGTAGAATACGTTTTAATATTAATCCTTTTATTTTTTTTTATTTGCGCTTACCAATTTTTAAAATATTTCCTCGAAATTACTCTTTAAATACTTTAAATACGTCTAACAGTTAATAAGTATTTTTAAATCTATGGAATAATTTTAAAACCTAACAAACCCCGTAAAATAGTTTAAGTTAAAAATCTAAAACTAAAAGAAAGTATTTTTGTTCAATTTTATCGACAACTTTGCTATTGCTGAATAATTTTATTAAAATGTTAACTTAAAAAGATTTAAACTTTTTTTTAATCTGAATTTTTTCTACTTGTAAATAATGAGCATATTTAATTTTTCTGTAATTCAAACTTTTATATCAACAGCGTGCGGTTTTTAAAATACTTTATTAAATGTTAAAATAATCGTAAATTACTTCATTAAAATTCCGCTCAAAAATATCTTTAAATATACTCAAACAAAAATTTTTTTGCTCAACGCAAATAGCTCTAGCTACACGCAAAATCGCTCTTGGACAATGTAAAATTCGCATTGCCCGACGCTTTATCGCAAGGCCTGATAATATATATATATATATATATATATATATATATATATATATATATATATATATATATATATATATATATTTATATATATATATATTTATATATATATATATATATATATATATATATATATATATATATATATATATATATATATATATATATATATATATATATATATATATATATATATATATATATATATATATATATATATATATATATATATATATATATATATATGGGTGGCGCAATTATTATTTTATCAAGATATAGAATCTAATTTTAATTTATTTTTTTATTTAAAACCATTTAAGTAATTAATTAATTTACATGTTTACGGTTTTTTTAGAATTATTAAGATCAGAAAGTATATTAAGAAAGTTTAGCCTTGTTATATTTATGTTAGAAACATGCAGAGAAGAAACATTAGTTACAAAACTTTTTTTTAATTGATAAAAGTTTAGGCTTTCATTAAATCGCAACAGTAATACAGTAAGCAAACTCAAAACAATGTTTATATATAAAAAAAAAACTATTTTTAGTATTTTTAACTTTTGTTTTCCCTTTATATATAGTTACAAGTTCATACTATACTACAATCAAATATTGAAAATCACCACCCCTACTAATGGTGGAATAAATGCTAATTTCTTGTAGAAATTATACAACTGGATGTTAACTGTTTAACAAATTTTGTTAAGCAATTTGCCGTTTTAAACAAAAACTTTGCTTACAGCACATAAACTAAATTTGTATTTCTAAACAACGTTCTTTCTATGAGCTGTCTAAAAACCAATTAAAATGTAATAAAAAAACTATAACCATTTTTTTTTGTAAAAAAAAAAAAACAACTTCAAAACTAAAAAATCACTTGTTCATAAATTTGCTATATACTTAATTTACTACACAAAATTTAATTGCTACATTCTTTAAAATATTATTGTCTGAAGCTATGCTATTTTAAAGCAATCCTTTTATAATCAATTAATCATTACCCCTATTGTAACAGAAAGCAAAAAATCTATATTTATATATTTTTTTGCCGACCTAATAATAACTATGGTCACGCTTGTGCCGACCTGAAATCCTTCAAATTTCGCTAACTGTATATATATATATATATATATATATATATATATATATATATATATATATATATATATATATATATATATATATATATATATATATATATATATATAATATATATATATATATATATATATATATATACATTAAATTTATGTTTCAATTATTCAAAATTATATTAATTATAAATGATTTTCATTATTCATAGATGTACACTATTTTGGGGACAGCTTATGCTAATGATAGTGCTTCAGCCTTTGCGCTTTTTAAATGTTTGCAGGTTTTATTCAATTTATTACTCTTTTTTATTTTTTTCAAATTTTATTTTTTAAATTTTGAATATATTTTTTTAGTTTAACCGCTAAGTATTTTTTTTTAGTCGCTATGTTCTGGGATTGCGTTTGCTTATGGTTTAGTTCTAACTTTAAAATGGCAACTGCTGATTCTGGTAATTTAATTTAGTTTTTGTTTTGAACTATAATAATAGATATATGTGTGTGTGTGTGTGTGTGTGCTACTGATTTTTAAGTTTTTATAAATGTTATTTTTATTTTTCTGGTTACTGCTAGGTAATTACAGCATTTTTTGGCACGGTATCTTTTATCATAGTGGAGCGTAAGCAAGAATCGTTAAAAAATATTTGTTATACAAACTTATCATAGCAGATTTTATAATAACTCAACTGGTTGTTTCTACAAAACAATTAATTTCACTTTTTTGTAGAACTTTGTAGAAAATATTATAATTAAATTATTTTATAATTATTTTGTGTTATAAAATTATTTTTAAAAGTTAAATTTTATTTTTTATGGTTTTTGAATTTAATGATAAAAAAAAAGTATTCACAAGTAATCTACGAAGTTGATGGTTTTTACCAAAAAATAAAATACTTAATAATTTATACTTTAATAAAAACTTTTTCAAAATTTTAATGAAGTGAGTGAATTAATGATGTGTTTTTTTGATTGGAAAAATATTGTTTTATTTTAAGCTTGTATTTAAAAAGTTTTCTGTAGTTTTGTGTATCTTTTTAATACTTTGTGTTTTATATATTTTTATAGATAAGTTAACTTTTTTTTTTTGTTTTTCATATTTTTATTATTATAACATTTTTATTATTATTATTGTTATTATTTTTTTTATGACAAAAGTTAATATCTCCTATTAACAAAAAAAAAAAAAAAAAATTGTAAAATGTTGACTCTTGGTACAAAAGTCCTAAAGTACTAACCCTTTGTTGTAAAGTACTAACCCTTTGTTGTAAAGTACTAACCCTTTGTTGTAAAGTACTAACCCTTTGTTGTAAAGTACTAACTCTTTGTTGTAAAGTACTAACCCTTTGTTGTAAAGTACTAACCCTTTGTTGTGAAGTACTAACCCTTTGTTGTAAAGTGTTAACCCTTGCACCAAAGTCCTAAAGTACTAACCCTTTGTTGTAAAGTGTTAACCCTTGCACTAAAGTCCTAAAGTAATAACCAGCAAAGCGTTAACCCTTGGTACTGAGGTCGTAACACAATAATCCTTAGTGGTAAGGCCCCGTGTATATTTTCTTTTTTTTTTGAAACTAACTTTTTTCTACATAATATCTAAAATTAAATAATTCAAATTTCAAACTCTGATTCTTGTAAAAAAAAAATTAATTTTTAAAAACAAAATTATGTTGAAACAAATTTTTTTTCAAAATCTTTTCAGAAAAGATTTAAAAAAAAAAAAATTTTTAAAAGAAATCGTTTCGAACATGGTGCTTTAATTCAATTGAAATTTTAAAGAAATTTAATTAAATCCTGTCCATAACAGTCTGTTGTATACAAGAGTTTTAAAAATGTGTTCTATAGTATAAGGATTAAATAATACTTCTTATCTATAAAGTAAATACATACAAATAGTGTTGTATCAAAATGAAAACATTATTTTTTAAATGTTATATATCATTTGCTTTATTAATGTTAAAAGTTTTAATTTATTGTCTATTATTTTAATGGATTTTATGTGTTTTATTTAAAATTTGGAAGGTTATTATCATTAAACTAAAAAATGATATGAAATAAATAAAAAAATGAATGAATACTTTTATTCAAAGGTATGCTTTCTTTTTGTTATCTTTTTAATTTTATGTGTTTTATTTAAATTTTATTTATATATATATTTATATATATATATATATATATATATATATATATATATATATATATATATATATATATATATATATATATACATACATATATATACACACACACTTACTAAAGCGTGTTTTGATAAGCATTTGCTCACTTTTTCTGCTTACCTTAAGCTATACCGTTTTTTTCAAAAAAGAAGAAAAAACAAAGAATGATGAATGAAACGATTGCTTCCCCATCCCAATCCCTCAGTCGATGTAGCAGCACTCCACTGCGAGTCAGGCTATTTATCAGTCAATGTATGTACTAAAGCCCCCAGCAAAAGGCTATTTCAGTATGACGTCAGATTGCTTACCTTAGTACGCAATACTATTTGTATATATATATATATATATATATATATATATATATATATATATATATATATATATATATATATATATATATATATATATATATATATATATATATATATATATATATATATATACATATAAACATATAACAGGCTATTTTAAGAAAAAAAATTGAGTGGCAGTATCCCCTCTTCAACCCAACCTAATTCAACCCAAGCCTGCCCCTTTCTACGCTCTCCCCCCCCCCCCCCTCATTTACTATGCCGGCAAAATCTACTGGAAATATTGCAGAATGTAAGCTTTTTTTTTGCAAAGAAAAAACAATATTTCCCATTTAAAAAAAAAGATCCTCAATTTCGATTTTAAGCTGCATTTTTTCATGTATGTATGTATGTATGTATGTATTCATACATACATACATACATACATACATACATACATACATACATACATACATACATACATACATACATACATACATACATACATAAAGCTTTTTAAGTCTTGACTGTTTTCTTGCTTTTAAACTCTATTTTATAATTTCTGTTTCTAAAAGATTTCTTTTTTATGAAACATATGATTGCTACTATATTTTTTTTATTTTTGTAATGTTCTTATTTCTTCAATTTTTTAATATATTGTGTTTACTTTCATCAAACCAATTTTCAAACTATTTTTTAAATTTGTTTAATTTGATGGCAGGATGTCAGTGAGCTTCGTCGAAGTTTCAGAGAAGGAAAAATGAAAAGTTTAGATAGCAGGTTAACACAGCTTCGATTATTACATAAACTTTTAGAAGAAGGTGAAAATGAACTTTGTGATGCTGTCTATAAAGATTTAAAAAAGGTCTCATCAGATTTTATATTTTTTGTAATAAATTATATTTAAGCTTTAGTATACTTTAAGATTTTTCTTTTGGACTTTCCGGTATACATTTTTCATTGCATTTTATTAAATTTCATACAACAATAAACAAATTCTACAAATAACAGTATGTTAAACTGAAAAAAACAAATGATATGATGTTAAATTGTAAAAATGATAAAAATTTTAAATATGATACAAGACTGTCCATATGATATTTTACTTAAATTTTTGTTTTGTAATTATTATTTTTTTATGCATAGTGCAGGGTAGAAACAAACATGATGGAATTTCTTCAAATTCGAATAGAACTTGGTAATGGTAAGTATTTTCTTGTGTGACAAGTTATAAAGTGTTATATGAGCATTAGAGTGAAACCAATTTTTTATAAAATACAATGCCAAGGCAGTTTTATATTGGTATTATGATTGATATTTTTATAGTGTTAATATATTTATATTATATTAGGCTATAATATAAATATATATATAATGTTTTCAATGTGTTGGCTTGCTACATATGTTATTAAGAACACATTAATTATTATATGTATAGAACATGTTAAATAATTTATATTTAGAACATGTTAACTAATTTATGTATAGAACATATTAGTTACTAATAATTACCATATTGTTGTAAAAGTAAACAAATTAAAGTAAATATTAAGTTCAAGTATAAATTTAAAATAAATATATTTACTGAATAAATTTTTGATGTATACTATATACTGATAATAGATAATCACCACAAACTGATAGTAGGTTGTTATTGCAAACTGATAATAGGTGGCTACCACAAATTGATAATAAGTGGTTACCATAAAATACTGATAATAAGAGGTTACCACAAACTGATAACAATTACTGATAAAAATTTAAAAAAAAACGTCTAGTTAGTGAAAAAAGCAACTTTTTTAATTTTGTAGTTTTTAACCAAAGTTGTTACAATTTCGATTCTTTAAAAACTTTTAAAAAATAAAATAAGTAATAAAATTATATAATGTATATTTTGTCAAACTAGCAGGAATAGCACATAGACCATTATAAACAATTAAGCTCTCAATATCAAATCTATTTTCTAGTTCATTAAGAAGATAATTAAGAAGAGGCAATGTAATGTAAACTTTAAAATAATCAGATAAATGTCACATAATTACCCATATGCTTCTGAACACCACATGTTCTAGGTTTTTTTCATCAATATCAAATGTTTTAGCCGATGCAAGAGCAATTTTATAAATTTTGTTATGATAAGCATCAGCATTTCTTTGCATTTCTTTTAAACAATTAGTCAAATTTTGAATTTCATCCAGTTGCGAGGAAATAACAAAATATTTAGTTTGAAGGGTGACAGAAATTTCATAGAAGTAATCCATTAGTTGTTTAGTTAAAACTAAAGAAACTATAAAACTGCGAAAAATTATAAAATTGTGTCTATTAGTTTATAAACTTGTTTTTAAACTTGTTTAATCTTGTTAAACTAACTGTGAATATTGTGAATATATTGTGAAGATTAAACTACTTTTATGAACATATTTAAACTTGTTTTAAAGTTCTTGTTTTTAAGTTTGCTAACTACTCTTATGAACATATTTAAACTTGTATTAAAGTTTCAAAGCATTTTTAGGTGTAAAAAATAAAAATGTAAAATAAAAATAAATCTGTAATTTTTTAATTTTGTTTTTTATTTATCAGCAACACAAAATCTTGAAAAATGGATGAAACCAAAACAAGTTAAAGGGGATCTTATCAACAAGCTGAACACCTGTCAGTTGCATAAAGATCCGCTTGGAGTTGTTTTGATTATTGGAGCATGGAATCTACCACTATGGGAAATTTTTTTTCCTCTTGTTGGTGCTTTATCTGCAGGTATTTGTTATTACAATAATTATTTTGTACCCTTATAATTAAAAGTTGCTAATTAATTATCATTATAATTAGTAGGCAATAGTTATTAATACTGACTTTTATGAAATGAACGCTTATAGAAAATTTTTTAAAAAAAGCAGAATAATCATAAAAAAATTTTTTAGGTTAATAAATCCCCTTTATACATAGAGCCTGCTCTATATATAAAGAATATAAAAAAATTTTAGGGTAATAAATCTCCTTTATACATAGAGCCTGCTCAAGCCTTAACCCTTATTCTATGTAATTGGTGAAGCCCCAACCTATTGGCTTTTTGAAACACTTTTAGTAAAAGATTTTAAAAAAAAATTTCTTAATTTTTTTCCAATAACAAAAATAAAGGAAATTTTTAAATTATATATCTAATTGTATATTAGCGTTTTTGTTATGAGTAAAAATTTTTTTTTTTTTTTTTTGTATATCGAAATACATATCCTCCAATACTTTTTAATCTACCCTAACCGTTACATAAATACAATTTAAATCAATTTGTCAACAGTTTCATATTCCTTAAGTTTCTTTAAAAAGGACAAATCTTGATTTGGTGCCTTAACCGCCAGACTACATCAAAGCAATGGTTCCACACATATAAATCCAATGAATAAACAAGAAAGTAATATATAGTTCAATTAGTTTCCAACAATTATCATGTACAATTGTTTTTTGCAGTTATTGATTATAAAATGCCAACAATTCTATTGTTCTATTGCAAAAATGTTTTCTGGCAATATTGGTGTATTTTTTAATAGCAGCAGGATCAATAAATTTCCAGTCGTCTCTAAACTTTTTTGAACATTGGGATATCAGGGCTACTTGAGACTTGGTTTATTTTTGTTTCAAACATACATTTTAAAACAAGTTCATAAATGTGATTGCGACAAAAAAAGAATAACACCATATCTATTTTATGTTCAAAATACACAAGCTCTTTTCAATCACTGTATTACATGCAGTTGTGTCACTGCACATTGTTTGAATTTTGTCATCAAGGTTCTAGTCATTTATCATCAAAGGTTCCAGTCTTTTGTCATCAAGGTTCCAGTTGTAAAGTGGGTTTAACACAACTTTACTTTGATTCTGGCTGGAAAAGCTTTCTAGTTTTGGTAAAGCCAGAAGTATTTTTCTAAAAGAAATTAAAATTGAAAAGCCTTTTTCTTTGAAACTCCTCACATACATTCAAGTATATATTTTCCCATCTCAGTGAATGGTCACCATTTCAGGCATATTATTCTGAAAATCTGAGATTATTTTTCGATTCTGCTCTATCTTTTTCACTTTGTGTACAAATGCATTTAATAGACAAATTGTTTATCAGGAATTCGTAACAGCTAAGATGTAGTGCTTCTGCTACAGCCTGAAATATATAGACACATCTATTTAAAGCTGCAATTAAATAAGGTGTGATTAAGTTTTTCTTTTTAATTTTGTAGTTGTTCCAGAACTCACTGTTTAAAAGATGGGTAGCAAGAGTTTCTCAAGGCTTCTATTATCAGAGCTGTTATGTTAAACCTGATGTCCCTGCATCTATATAAAATCTTGTGTAGTAAGAGATGACAACAAACTCCTGAAACGCGTTTGGTCTTGTCTATTTTTCTCTTTTAATTTTCTGTCTTGTCTTTACTTCTTTTTTGGCTAACCACCTTCCTGATTCTCTTTGTTTTTGTAAAAATATTTTATATTTGCTACAAAGCGTTAGCATGTGCTCTATCAAATATATTATCTAAATTGTTTTAAAATGTCCTCCTCATAGCGCTTGTAAACATCTTGTATTTTTAATTCCCTTTGAGCATGGCAGGGTGGTGGACAATAGGTGGATAATAAAAGAAAAATTTGTTGTCTAATCTCTTAAACTTTTTTAGTTTTAGTTTCTAAAAATTTGTTGATATTTTATTTTATATTAGATCCCATAGTTACATGAATTCTCAGCATTTAAAAAATGAAATTTGATGAAAAAAAAAGTTAAAATTATAAGTAATTTTAGTGAGATCTAGGTTGTGTGATTTTTCAATTACATCTGTGTTGTTAAAACATTTTTTTAGAGTATTCACAGATAAGAAAAGTATTTTGTTGCATAAATTTGTTATAGCATGTTATCTCAGTAATAATTTAAAGAACACATTTTAAAAAAAAAACTTTAAGAAAATATTTTTTTACTGCACTGTAACTGATTGACACAATTTGCCATGTGCTGTCTAATATTTGTTTGTCAAATATTTGTGTGAGCTATATGATGCTTTAATTGAGTTTCCATTGGCTACTCATCCCTTTAAGTCCTCGTCTGATTTTATATTGTTTCAATTTGATTGCTATGGCACCTAATTTTGTATAGCATAGCATTATTTTAACAGTTTTTTATTTGCGCTATGTAAACTATATTTCGTATGTGTATTAACTTTTATGATTTGCAGTACACCTTTTAGCATTCTCTCTAGATCTGAAGTAAGCCTTATGGTGTTTTTTAATGTACCTATATATTTTACTCAAAAATAATGGTCACATCGCATTTCTGAATTTTGTTCTCAAATCAATGGTCCACAGCAGTCTGGAAAAACAACAACTTCACATGGTTTTATTATAAATTTTACCTACATTTTCACTTGGAAAACCAGATAAACTAAGATTTCCTGAGGTTGTCAATTGACAAAATTATAAGATAAAAACATTATTAATATGCTCAAAAATAGTATGAGTAATGATTCAAATGATAAATAACTGGTTTCTCATGATTGTATATATATTTTATTCTCTTTTTCTAACCTTGAAAAGTTAATTAAAACTTATGTTTGAAATTTAAAACGTTATATACACTTCTGATCAACTTTGTTTTATAGACATTATTTATGTATAATTATATATAAAAAGTTACTAATCAACATGTAATAAAGCTATATTTATTTAGGTGTAACACTAGTATTTTATAGAAATTTATTTTTATGTTCTTAGTATCAAAGTGATATTTTTAAAGCGACAAGAAATTCAGTTTTTTAAGAGATTTACTCATAATTTTGGCAAAACTATGAGTAAAATTTTTTCATTATGTAAAAAAAATAAATGCTATTAGTATATGTTTTAGTTATTCTATTTAAATATGCTTATGGGATGTGCAAAAGAGCCCAATGATTCTGTTCTTGAATAAGATTAGTACATTATTGCAGGCCTTGCGATGAATAAGAACTGCGCGACGCATAAGCACGACGTGATTTTTGACGTCATTAAATTCTTTTTATTTGCTTTTCATATTTATCGACATTAACTGCACCAATTTATTTAATTACCGCAAAACTACTTTAAATCGTTTATGTAGAAATGTTATTATTTAAAAATGTTTTGGAATGTTTCGTTTTTTAAAATGTAAAAACGTTTATTTTCTCGACGTTTGTCACGTTTTGTCTATACTAAACGAATAAAAAACATTATAACTTAAATTTAAAAAAGATTATAAAATATGCTAATATTTGATTTTTTTTTTCTTAAATATGTAATTTAAATTTTTTCAAATAATTATTTTTTCTTTTTAAAGTCAGCGAGTAATAAACTGGAAATTTTAATATTGTACGATTAAAAACTGTGCAATAGCTAATATTTTTACAAGCGATTTTATATAATATTTATTTATTTATTTTTATTTATTTTCATAAAGCGGTTGATAAGCACAATCACTCGTATTAATAAAAAACTTAAACGAACGTTTTGAATAGATTTTTAATGTTAACAAGGAATTTTATTTCTAGTAAAATAAAATAAAATGTTAGAATAAAAATCTTATAGGTATAAAAGAAATATTTCAGCGAAAAAATTATTCTTAAAAATTATTCGAAAAACTATTGACATTCTATTTTTCAGCAGCTGTTCTTGAGCACGCTTCGATGAGTTTCGGTAACTTTTAACGTAAAAGCGATCGTTATTATTTAAGTAATTTTTTTGAGTTACTTTTTACAAAAATTTTAATAACTGTACTTTTTTATTGAATCAAGTAGAATACGTTTTAATATTAATCTTTTTTTTTTTTATTTGCGCTTACCAATTTTTAAAATGTTTCCTCGAAATCACTCTTAAATACATTAAATACGTCTAACAGTTAATAAATATTTTTAAATCTATGGAATAATTTTAAAACCTATCAAACCCCTGTAAAATAATTATTTAAGTTTAAAATCTAAAACTAAAAGAAAGTATTTTTGTTCAATTTTATCGACAACGTTGCTATTGCTGAATAATTTTTATTAAAATGTTAGCTTAAAAGATTTAAACTTTTTTTTTAATTTTTGAATTTTTTCTACTTGAAAATAATGAGCATATTTAATTTTTTTAAATTCAAACTTTTATTTCAACTGCATGCGGTTTTTAAAATACTTTATTAAATGTTAAAATAATCGTAAATTACTTCATTAAAATTCCGCTCAAAAATATCTTTAAATATACTTAAACAAAAAATTTTTTGCTCGACGCAAATAGCCCTAGCTACACGCAAAATCGCCCTTGGACGACGTAAAATTCACATCGCCCGACGCTTTATCGCAAGGCCTGTTATTGAATAAGAATAAGTACATTAATGCTTGGGTATGATTTTATTAGATGTTTGCAGATCTCCTATTGAATTGAATTGTATTATTGAACCTTCAATGATTGATTGGCTAGTTCAAACGAAATTATCTGGAACAACTAACTCATCACAATGCTCTTGATATCCTTATATAAATATGGTCTTTTCAGTCTCCACGTATGGATTTGATTTTTTAAGGTGATTCTTCCATTACATATAAAAAAAGAAACAAAATTTTAAGAATAGAATGACTAAACAGAAGATTCAGTTGTTGATTTTTCCAAAAGTTCTGAAACAATCAACCATGGCAACACTTCAAGGTGTGATTTTGCGGTATATGAACAAACAGCTAAAATTCTGGGTATTGATCAAAACCATATATTCAGATTTTACATTATTGTTTTGACACTGTTAAACTATATGTGTTCCTTTATCCATGGTATTAGAGCATCAAATACCGGTAGCACCAATACAGAAATACCAGTGTTAATGGACTTTTTTAAGTACCGACATACTGGTATTGGGTTGGCTTAATACCGTTATTAAAAATATGTGTACAAGGCATGGTTGCGATTGCTCTCTTTGCATGAAACACGCCCGTAAATAGAACATTTAAAACTTTGAGGTGTGATAAACAATGCTCGTTCAGCTAGTAATGAGAATATAAAATCATGTTCACTAAAGAAAAAGGTTGGTTCGCTCATGCTCAAAGAGAAAGGGAGAGAGAAAATGATTGTTTAATTAGTTTTTTATAAAAGGTTATTGATAGAAAATTTTATTTAAAACTTGTTTAATTTAAAAGTAAAATTCTGTCTTCCCACTATTAACAAAGCAGGACATTTCCATTACTGTGCATGATTATTTATTTTTCTTTGTGCAATTTTTGCAATTAGAACACGAGACTTATATTAATATGCATACTATTATAATTTTCTTAAAGAACAAAAATATTTTTTTCATATTTTTCCTAAATGTTTAAATGTATATATTTATATATATATATATTTTTTTTATGTGTTAATGTTGCAATAGTTTAAAATATATACAATAGGTTTCTAAATGCTAGCTAGAAATGATTGATGACTGCTATTTCTCATTGAAAATATGTTAAATATGAGTTGTAGAGATATAATATTTTATTCAAAATACTCACAAGCAATTTATTTTCATAAAAATAAGTATTTTAAATCAACAAATATGGACCTTCCAAGCATGACTTTCAGGCGTGAGCATAAATGGACTGCATTTAAATGATTACTGTGACTCTATGATACATAGTGCAGTCCTTTGATTTTCTAGAATTCTTTACTAATATTTAAAATATAATTTAAAAAAAGTGTACTGCTAAAATTTATTTTTTCTAAGGAATTAAAGTTTATTTATCTAGTAAATAAAATTTGCATTTTTCTGTTCCGTGCGTGATTCCACTTAAAACTCAATTTATTCTTTAATAACATTACTAATGAATGTTTCACATAGTTCAAAGACTTATATTACCCGTAGGACTTATTTCAGAAGAAGCTCAAAAGGCTAGACATAAAGACTTCAATACTTATAGCAAAATGTTAGCTGAAAGACATGCATAGAAGCATCTGATTCTGATCAATTAACGCAGTGAGTTAATTGATCAGATCAAACTGATCTGATCAATTAACTCACTGCGTAGATCAACAACTCACACGTAGATCAAACAAATTATGAAACATTTCCTGCAGATGTTTTGTAATAACTTAAACAATCTTCAAAAGATAATTTTTTACAAATTTAAATCTAATTTTAAGTTCTTAATGTCTTTATGCACTATTTTCTGTTTTTATTATTTCTAAAACATTAATTCTAAATCTTTAATTGTTATTAAAAAAAAGGAGGATTGAAATCCAATAAATTTTTTTACAATATCAATTTACCTCTATGTAACTAAAAAAATTATCTAGTTACTAAGCAATGTAGGTATCTATTGCAACTAGAAAAAATTATTGTTTTTATTAGAAGCGCAACCTCATGTTGATACTCATGCCAAAGTGAATATAGTGAATATAATACTGGTAACATATCTGCAAATACCAAAACAGGTTGTTGCTAATCAAAATTAAGTTTTCCAAAGCAACAAAATAAAAAATAACAACTTCATAGAAAGTGCAGACATTATATTAGTAATCATGTTAATTTAAGTAAATATATTCCTATTATTATATTAGGTATAAATCTAGTAAAAGTGAATTCTATTTTTTTTAAAAATAAACCACAACCTAATCATTAGGTTGTGGTTTATTTTTTTAAGTTACGTTTATTACGTTAAGTTAAGTTATTAAATGTATTAGGTTGACCGGAAAGTAATGTCGTATTTTTACGTCAAATTAAAACAAATAATTTTTTTATAATTTTTTTATATTTATTTTTAATCAATGATATAATCACCCTCATTTTCCACAACATTTTTCCATCTAGCGGGCAAATTTTCTATACCAGATTGAAAAAAATGTATTGGTTTGTCATCAAAATATCTGGAGATGCCATTTTTTAAGCAGTACAAAGTT